AACCCTACSATCTAACCTAACCTAACATATTGGTTGGGTTCCTCAAAAAATCGCAAAATCTGCAAAGTGTTCGCCAATTATGCTCATAAATTCGCTAAGAAATAAAATTTCGCAGCAACTCTAGAAGGAATCAGATTTTCGATTTCGAAATGTGTGAGTTTCGTTTTAGTGCTGCGAATAGGCTAATTTGTGTCAAGCTTGGTTGWGGTAACGGTGTATTCAAGCGAATTTTTGCGCGTTTATATAAATATGTTGCACTTTTGTTTTCTATTTTAGCTCAAGTACAAGTATACTAAGGCAAGAGCRTATAAGTAGACGTGGATATTAAAAACTGCCGCAATAATATCAACAATATTGACGAGCAATTACTATTTTACGGGCAATAACGGCAACGTGTGAGTGCAGTCGCGCTGCTATTATTGCATTTTCCATATAAACGCTATGCATACAGTAAGCTCCAAAGCAAATGAACACTTTCATCATGAAAACTAATAATGAAATGGTTTTTGCGCACCTTCAATTAGCATTATCTATAACAAAGGGGCTTATAATTTCACGGAAATAATATAAAGATTAACATTTAATGAAGACATAACACTTAACATTAAAAAATGTTGCCTACATTTCGGCGCCAACAAAATTTACGTCGATCAATATTAGTAGAAGGCTTTAAACTCCTTTTTGTAGACCCGATAGCAATACAACTAACTGTACTATGCAGTATGCATAAACTCTCCCTGGCAGTCCTCTCTGCGCACCCACTGAGATAATTTCACTTTCGCCATTTCGCCATTTGAATCGTCATAATTTTGCAATTTTGCATTGAAATTKTGCTGTAAAAGTGCTTTCGATGATTACACACTCGTTCCCGCCTTTTATTAGCATTTTTAGGCGCGCATGTCATAAATTGTGTTATGCATAAATGCCAAAGTCCATCAGCCCGCGACTTGCTTAAGAGCCCACTCAAGCAATGCGCCTATATTCGTGAATATATRCATACTATATACATATGTACATACATAAATTAATATGTATGCATATGCCAATTCGGCTACTTTAATCCAGGCACTCAGCGTATTTCTGAAAATAACAAATGGCTTAATGGAATACGTGCGGAATGAGCGCGAGTGTACTTTGACCGTTTAACCAAATTTCTATTAAACATTTGCATCACTCGTACATACACACATACACCTGCATAAGTACCCCCTTATATGTTTTTGTATGCTCATGCTTTTTATCCATAATACAATAAGAGTATTATTTGTGGCTTCGTGCCATCCCCCTTCCCCTATTGTTTATTGTTAGCTGAGGTAACGATTGAAACAATAACAAACTACTTTACGATAAACATCACGAAGCATAATGCGAATATGCTGCAGAAGCTCGATCGAACTCAGGTAAAAGTTATGCGGGTGTTTTTTTCCCATCGCGCCTATTTTTTCTAATGTGATTTTTATTATATTTTGCTGCTTATAGTTGTTGGAATTTTTTGTTTAACCTCAACAGGGTTCCTTTCTTTGCCACGAAGATTGAAACAGCCAGAGGGAAACTTCGAACCTTCGGAGATCTTACAAAATATATATTTACATACTCATCATGACGAATTGAGTCGATTTGACTAAGTCCGTCTGACTGAGACTGAGAACTGCTGACTGAGTCTGCTGAGAACGGCAAATTGGCCGAACATAATCAACTTCTTGTAGGGAATATTTTGTATTTGTGAAGCACAACRGGTTAGTCGAAAAAGTTTTTTCGTATTTCTAATCACACTTCAACTTATTTTTCGAATATTTGTAACGAAATTTAATGAACCAAATATGTACCATTTTTGTCGACCACTTTGTGGCATTTTTCCGCTGGAGACATTACTCCATCAGTGTAAAACTTTTTTGTTTTCTCGACGAAATAGTGCGACAAGTAATTTTCACAGGCTTCTTTGAAGCCAACTTTGCTCCATTAAGGGAATTCTGCATTGACCGRGACAACCGGCAGTGCGGTGGTGCAAGGTCAGGGCTATATGGTGGATGCATAAAAACATCCCAGCCAAGTTCTCCAAGYTTTTGCGCCGAGTCATCAAAGATGTGTGTGATCTAGCGTAGTCCTGATGGAAGACGAAGCCCTTTCTGGCCGTCCGATGATGAATGTTAAGTTCCTTAGCGATGTCATGTTTGCCTATATGACGGTCCTGGTCAATCTTTTCAATAATTTCATCAACTTTTTCAATGCAAATTCTTACTAACAAAAATTAAAAAATGTGCGGATARTATACACKCGGTTTTAGTCCAACGATGCGCACCAGTATCTAACAGTATTCTATTGACTTCATTCACAGCTTCGTCACTTAACGAACCACTGACTATTAAAGTCAGCATTATTAGGTAAATATATAAACAAGCGGTCGCTCCCATCTGACCACATTGTTCGGGTGTGCCATATGATCGTAAGTGATTTAAGTCAAAGCTCGAGATTGCGGTGGTGTGTGAGCAGTGCCCAAGCAGCAAATTACAGAGCACACATGTGACTTCACACCAATMTTTCGCATCCGAAGCACACGCATACACACACATCTCTTTCAATGGTATGGAAGAYAAAGCGTGAATGTGGTGTGACAGAAAAACGAGTAAATGATGAGCACAGAATGAAAGATTGCGTTGTGGCCACGGAATGACAGGCTTTATAAAGCGAACGCACGCTCACGCACACACAAACATACAGATGTATGCATAAATATACAAAGTAATGAGTTGAAGTATTACTGGCCGCCTGCAAGAATGCCGCGCGCTGCACGCTGTCCAAAAGCTCAGCAAGCCAACAGGGCGTATGATGAATGCGCTGCCAATGAGCTGGCGAAAGTAACGAGCACTTGATTGTGTAATTCCACATGGAGTCGGTTTTTTCATTGAAATTTTCACTTTTTCGACATTTKACTTTTGACTGTGCCCTGTCTAGCGCGCTTTAAGCTGGCCTATTTGTGGCCGAAAAGCGCAAAGGTGGAACATTTATCTTATTTTATTCCCAAAAGGTGTGGGCGTCGCACAGCGCGCTTGAGCGTATGTGTGTGTGTGTGTGTGTGTATGGTTTGGCATTTCAGCTGATGATGATTTGCCGTTATAAGCAAATACGCCTGTCAATTTGCGCCTATTCACCGCTTAACAGTGCCATGATGTTGGTATTTATGTAAGCATTTCGGCACTCAAGTGGCGCTGCACAAACAACTGTGAGCAGCTAAAACACACAAACGATTTTTCACGCGTCACGAAGTAACAAATGAATGAACAAATGYCCCCACCCCCTCTGCTCTGCGCCAGCCACTTGACTGCCTGAGAGGGAAAATCGTTTTTGTTACTGTKCATGTTGCTTTCGGCATATTTTCGGTACTCCAATTTCGGCTTAGGGGAAATCTGCGCACTCGTCGCCCCTACTGCCTACCACACGCTGGCGCAGGTCTGTTTGTTCGTGCGTTACCGTTTAAGCATTATGGGGTCATAATTTCTAACTGTTATTATACCTTTTAGCCATGATCGCATGCCCCTGGGCGCATACACCGWACCGGCAGCGAAGTCGTGTGCCAATGCGTGTGCGTCTGTATGTGCTGCATATGCGTGAGCGATTAAAAGTGCTCGTTCATACACAATACTTAAGCTCTTACAAATACATGTGCATGTGTGTGTGTGTGTGTGTGCCTCTGAATTTGTGTATTTGGTAGTATTTTCGGCTTGAGTTTTGTCCACCCACACAATATTCGGCGCTTTAGCACAGTGTACAGCAGTTGAGAAAGAGTGCTGTGTAATCTAGTCTAGTGGAATGCAGGGTCTGAGTACTCACTTCGCGCCAGAGTTCAGATCAATTTTCTTCTGGATCTTCTCTTTAAACGACAAGCCCGCTTTGTGCCTAGAAAACAGCCAAACGGCACTTAGAGCCAACATTTAAGTCAAGTCAAACTGCGTTAGTGGATCCGGAGTTTTACTTTGAAGATCAGTTAGCATCATTTGATTCTGCGTTGGATTTCGCGGTTGAAATTGCTGTACTTTTAATACGGGTTCCAAGATAGACGAAATTATCTACGACTACGAAGTTATGATGGTCAACAGTGACGTGATAGCCAAGTCGCGAGTGCGACGACTGTTTGTTTGATGCCAGGAAATGTTTCATCTTGCCTTCGTTCACTGCCAGACCCATTTYTTYAGCTTCCTTATTCATTCTGGAGAAAGCAGAMCTAACRGCCAAAGATATCAATATCGTCGGCRTACGCCAGAAGTCGCACKMAAGGGAGTTGCCTTTTCTAAAAGCTTGTTTGGTGTCGAACGACTCGGAGAGATCCTTTTCAATYCTGACGSAGCTTTTGGCATTGCTCAACCTCAGTTTTCACAGCCGTATTAGTTTTCGACGAAGATGCGGTGTGTGTGGTTTCWCTTTTCACGGGTCTTTTCCAWCTTCATGTCTAGAAGTTCACGCAAGTAAGGAAAGTTCGCTGATTGCCATTCACTTGGGAGTGACCAGAAATTATTCTTTTACATATMTCTCAAGCAGCTTACGACTTCCGGTCCCATTGAAAAYKAAACAACAGCCTCTGAAGAGATATCTCYCTTTCGATGCCGACCATGGCAAACGCATTAAGCAAAACAGCACACAGTGCAAAATACTTCGAATGTTTGTATGTAAAAATGTGTCAAGAAATTGTGCCTCAGTGTGTATGTGTGCGTGAGATTGTAGTTTGGGTTGAGCAAGTGGATGACGGGCGAGTTGGCTTCCAAAAGTAGAAGTACCGCCATTTAACATAAGGCAAATTAAGAGTGTAATTGTTGGCGATAATTAACGCATATGTTGCATTGAGTCGTTAAGTTAGCCGAGAGAATTTAGTGTTGAAAGGTCGAGCCACACACATTCACATAGAAACTAAAGCGAATTTAAATGCAACATTTCTATTGTTTACCGTGTACAGTATAAAGCAAATTATTAATCACACGACCACTCTTACTTCTTCTTCACTTTTCCAGTTACGACAGTATTTTTCAAAATCAAGATGCAGCATCCCACCAGTAAACGGCAGTCCAGGTGTAAATTCCTCACCACCATTTTCCACGCCTTGCTCATAATCGCCGCCGTGAACATGAAATTGGCCGGCGTGCACGGCGAAGAGGCGGTCACAGGCGTGGCGCTGCCGGCCGCCAACGAAGACAAACGCAATTGGCAGGCGCTGCAGGGCCCGTGGGGTAAGCGCGCACACTATGCCGGCCCAACGCTGCCTGAAGTGAATGAGCCAGAKGACGACGAGCGTTTGGTGCCGCTGCTGATCAGTAACGGGGAACGCGACGAACCCTTCCTGAAGTTCTCCATGATGTACCTGACCAACGCCGGCACACTGGATCGCTTGTTGAACGACAGACAGGACGAACAGAGTGCGCTGAGAATRAACGATGATCTGGTTACGTCTATGGAGGATGCTGAAGGGTACGGCAACAACAATGATGACAACAACACTCCGCTTAGCGAGAAGCGCGCTTGGAACAAAATGAACGCTGCYTGGGGCAAGCGCCGCAACGCGCCCACTTGGAATAAATTCCGCGGTGAGTTCTTAGTTTTTGCTAGTTCTGTATTTTTGCTATGATTGCTTGATTTTGATGACTTTGCAGGTGCATGGGGCAAGCGCGAGCCCGGCTGGAACAATCTCAAGGGCATGTGGGGCAAACGCTCCTCCAAGGATTGGGTTAAGTTGCATGGCGGCTGGGGCAAGCGCGCCTTAAACTAAGSTGCTGCRTGTGGAACCGGCTCAATTCGCGATGGAAACCCTTCAACAGAATGTGCAGCTAATATGTGTTTAACGGCCATCAGCAAATCAGCATGAAACCCAACAACAATCTACAACAAATTCACAAAAAATATGAGAAACGCAACAAATGTATACAAAATCATATTATGTAATCAAATTTGCCTATTGTACATTTTACCTTACGTCTTTATATGTGTATGTGTGTAAACATAATTAACTAAATTAATCTCTTGTAATAATACATATGTAAGCAGTGTGACGGGAGCTATGTATGTAAATGTAAAATACGGTCAACTATCAGCATCTAAATATACATTCACACACACGCAAACATATATATAAATATATATTTTCAACTATTTATATATGCATGTAACAATTAGGAAGCAAATGAAAAGTATTAAAGGAATCCGTGAACAGCATTTAAAAAAAGTCAATCTCAATCCGGTTTTCTATTCGAAATTTTTAATACCAAAAATGTATGAAAGCCTTAAATGTTCTGTGTCTGTAACATTGTATGTAAATGTGTAAAGTTCTTTTAATTTATATTTATATACTTCGAGACGAGTATTTAAGGATTTCTCCCCCACTCAAAAGCAATTTCGTGCATGCAGACAGACTCACCGAAGAGGGAAAAGTGGAAGAGAAATGCAGCCAACAATTCCAGTCAATTAAGTCTGGTTTTATGTTTTAATTACAAATACAACTTAAACAGTATTAAATAAAGAGTATTGTAAAAATATCAAYTAAATTTCGAGTTTAGATTAATGGAATTACTTGGAAGATGGGTTCCGCATCAACGCACAAATCGGGAGATTATATATTTCTCTATATAACCTTTGATCGGATATATTCATTTAACTTCATTTTTGAGATATTTCAGTACTCATAATGGTCCATACCTTATGGTGATGAGGTGCCTAACTGTTTTATGTAAAACTTTTAAAATCTAAAGGAGGGTTTTTTTTCCTAATAAAAAGGTTATTTTTTCGGTTAACAGCAGAAATCTTGTATTCCTTCAAAAATTCCAAAAACAATTTGACATTGTGATAAAGAAAACTGTCCTTAACTAGCTACCTAGACAAAAATATACCAATTAAGTTGCTCTTAAAGCAAAAATTAAATAAATATGTATTATATTTCTTCCATACACATACATTTGTATGTACATTTCCTTTTACATATCATTCTTTGAGTAAAAATTAAAAAAAAAAAAATAGAAAATTAGCAAATTCACAGACCCTTACTTCAAATTAGTACAGGGTGTTAAAAGGTTTTTGAATTGTCGGAAAGGTAAATTAAAAACAGCTTGGCACAAGTTATTAAAAATTCTAAATCACGCAAAAATGGACTAATCTGCATGTAACCATATATGTATACGAGTATTTGGTATTTCAAATTAACCTCAAATGGGCAGAATATTCGTATGCCGGTGAAATTCAGGCAGACACCAAAGTACGGTTAGAAAACGTTATAATATTATACTTTCTCTAGTACGGTACATTTGCATTTCTATACACTTTTATATTGACATTTTCACTTATGCAGTAAATGCTGTTMCATTACCTATGTTAATCGATTTTCACATAAACGTATAATTTCACCGATGATATATATTTATTTACAAATAATAACAGCCTTTCACAAACCTAAATCGAATATACCTGAAGATAATCACGTTCCACACAGGGTTGCAGCAAAGCTCTAGAAATGATTTCACTCGAAATCCAACAATTTATAAAAATTTTAAAAACAATAAAATACAAATTATGTCCTATGGTGTGCTCAAAACACAGATGTCGCGTGCAGCGTTTGGATTTTGTGGAACKTAGCGGTGACAACACGAGAAACGGCACTGCAAAAAAACAGCTGTGCAAAAAGGCGCAAACTACTCTTGGWCCGGCGAAAAATTTACTAATTTTTGAGTTATTTTGTGTATTGTGTATTGACAATTAAAAATAAATTAGATTTACAAAACAAGAATGCAGTCTTTGCAAAAGTATTGGTATGTTATATGAATTAATTGTTATTTGATATTAATAAGCTTTCTCGCTAGCGGTTCGCCCAACAAATTGGTGGAGCTCAGCCTCAATATGCATTTGCGCGCAAAACTAGCGAAAGAAAGCTTGCGATGGGGCTGTCTTAATGTGGTGCTACTTGCCATACTGTTGTTTGATATATCTAACCGTTGTCCATTTGCACACTCAAAATGGTATTATGCAGAGTATATTGCGGCTGTGCTAACGGGACTAGGTGCCTTCTCGAGTTTCCTCAAATACTTTCTGTTCATATTCCGTAAAAATCCMATATTAGGCACCAAAGAACAGAAAAATCTACTTAAATTTGATGAGCTCGGTAAGAACAATYCAACTAGTGTTTATGTGATATTTCTTCTAACAATGGTTTACAGATACGTCATTTCTTGTAACACCACCGTCACAAAGCAAGAATAAAGCATGCGATGATTTGGCCACTAATCAAATAAACAACACATTGTTAAGCTGGCACTCTTCTTTCAATGATTGTAAGATATATATTTCCAGAATTATAGTTAGTATATTTAATATCAATATTTTATTTGCAGCGCGCGCTGGTATGTCTCACAATTGGAGTTACAGTCGCACAACACCACCTCGCGGCAGCTTCAGTCCACAACAGCAGCAACAAGCACACAATACTTCCTGGAATTCTATGGGCAATCGTTCGTTGGTTATGAGCGGCAACAACAGCGCTATGATCAATACCAATTCCCTCATGGAGTCGTACCAAAAATACAAACGTGAGGAGCTAATAACTGACGAGGAGAGCCTAAAAAATTATTTAAAGTAAGTGAAACCGTTTGACGCGCTTTAYTATTAATATTTTGTGTAATTGGATAAAGAAAAATTGTGTTTTAATGAAAAAATTGTATTTTTACTAGAGAGTTTTCTATCCACGAACAAAGCATGAACGAAACAGCGGATGTGAGTCAACATTATAACACCGGTTCAGTAAACTCCTTCTGGAACTATTGCAACACTGCAGCTAATATGCTTAAGACATCCATTTACCAATTGTCTCCATTGACGAGTGAGTAAAAACATTGGTTTATGATTAACGAAATTCCATTTAACATTGTCCTCGTTCAGATCCTGCCACACCCAGTAAACAATCAGCAACTGAAGACGGTGGTCTTAAATTCATGGATAGCAACTCGGAAGTGATTAGACGCATCTCCTCCGAAAAATTATCACAATATGTAGCCAATTTGAGAAGGGTAATAAATTGCTATTTTCCAAGACCTTAAGCGGCTACACATACATACAACAACAACTAACATGCGATATTTTTCTTTACAGTGGATGTCTGCAACTTTTCTGGAGCGTTTATCAAAGGAAATCAAAGCGATCGATGAATCGTTTAAAAATCGTGGATTTGCCGATATGCGTATGGGTGGCATTAGTTTGGAACGCCTTAAGAAAACGGTTGAAAATCAACAATTTGTGAATCAGTACATGCCAATGTTGCCTTTGATTCTGCCCTTTTTGGAAATGTCGAGCAATCAAGAGTATTTGGTTCAGCGTATTAAAGATTTAGCAGAAGGCTCATGCATCTCGGACTACCGTTGGAACTCGGGAGCTGCTTATCACGGTTTGAAATGGGACGAGCACTTACCCACCGACTCGGCGGTATGTTCACACATACATATATTCGTAATACGAACACACAYTAATATTATAGCATATTTACAGATCTTATTCCATCTATTTTGCGTTTATATGGACAGTCAACTCATGCCTTTACCACAAGGTGGTGGTCGTCCCTTCTTCAGTCGCTATGTGATAATGGGCAAAGAGAAGCGCTCAGCAAAAGAAACTCTGGCGCTCGTCAAAAATAAAGCTCATTGCGCTATACTCTGTACGAATCCGCAGAAGCCACGTTTCAACTTCATAAGCGACAAGGAAATCCATACATGCGCCTACGATCGCAATAATCTTTTCTATGTAATCATACAATTTTTAATCCACATGAAAACCCATCATGAAGGCGCATTGGAAGGTGTCAACCTGGGCAAAAGCGGCATTAATATTTTGTGCGTCATTGAAAGCTGAACCGGCGAATGGACAAGTATTTTCTTCGCCTAATTTTACACACACAAACATGTAGTTGTAACAATTTTTTTTTTATTACTGATGGCCAATTAAGACTTGACCAGTGTGTAGAATGACATTCTCATTAGACAAAACAGTGTCGTGTACTGTTTTACAGGAACAATTTTAATATTAAGTAAATTTAGTGTAGATGGAACGAAATGCAGAACTTTTAATCGCCAAGTTCTCATGATTTTAAAAGCGTATAAATTAGAAAGAGTTTCTATGCGMCTAAGAATACAATAAATTGTTAAAAGTGCGAACAGACATAACCCCAACCGTACCCTTACACATACATATTTACTCACCCACACGCAAAACGCAACACGCAGAGAGAGTGGCAATAATTTTGCGCGTAGTTTTCGCGTAAACTTTTAATTAAAGGGATTTACTGATTTATATCGCAAATCCATGGTACATTCCTTTGGACATTAATCGTTTTTGTGCTGTGGATTTATCGTGTCACAGGAGTGATTTGTGGCTAAAATACAGCGTGCTACAGCAACGCCGCCAGCAGCACACAACACACATACATATGCGCGTATACAGCAAGTGAAAATACATATGCAGCTGCTGTGGCAGGAATGCGAACGACAAATCTGCTCAAGTTATCACAGTGCTTGGCGACAGGCGACAAGCACACACACCGCTAATTAAAAGAGAAGAACATAATAGCAACACTCCTGGGTACCCATCAATTTTAACGCACTTACATGTACTTTGCTGACTGAACTGACTGCACCGAAATTGTTATAAACTCGTTTTATAGGTTATGTAGAAAAAATATATTTACACTTTTGTGCTTAATTTTTATTTATGCGATAATATAAATAATATAACTACGTCTAATTAACTATAATTTAATAAGTTACAGTAATTAAAAATAATTTAATTACTTAGAGTTGGCTTAAGGACTTTATTTAATCATTTATAGGGCTTAACAAGAGTGGATAGTGTCTTTATATAACTTATAAATTAATAAAATGGCATAATTGTATGGAATATTCAGAGCCTATTGTATTAATCGTATGTTTGGAGGCAAATCGGAACTGAAAACATCATAGGTCAAGAATTCAACGAGCAAAGGGGCTGGTCACACAAATTTAAGCACGAGAGTCGTGTCTTCTAAATGAATGGATTTTTATCCGGCCAAGGACTGTCAACTCGGCAGAATTCTGCCCCTACATCAACAACAATAACAACAATAACAACAAAAACATATTTAAGCAACAATATTAGAAAGAACCTCCTTTTGGTAAAATTTAATACAAAATTTTCTGCTTCTGGCTGCTCCTGGCTTGATTGCATTCTCCATTTGTTGTGGCACTAACGCACTGTGCGCTTGCATTTCAACAAATTACAAAAGCCGGTAAACGAGTGTTTTGAGTAAGCGATAAAAAATTATTTCCACTTGAACAATGTGCCCTCCCCTGCTTCCGCACAACACGGCAACTTTGGAGCGATGGAGTTGACACGCCCACTATAAGTAGAGCTTTGGAGCTGACACGCATTCGCCACACACACACACACACACTTACACACAGGCACATCGTACGGGA